CAGCTAAAACAAAAAATTCAATAAAAGCAGCTGTTACACAATTAAAATACTATAGTCATTTATAGTAAAGGGAAATATTTTTGATAATAAATAAATATATAAATATATATATATATATATATATATATATATATATATATATATATATATATATAAATATATATATATTGTAGGGATGTAACAATATTGTAAATACCGTCATACCGCAAAAGTAATTTTTTTCAATATTACCGTAGGCGCATGACTCAATAAAACTATATTTCTGAGAAAAGTTTGCTTAGGCGAATGAAGAGAACGGGAGGTAGCGGGAACTACAATTCCCATCAGCCCAGGCGTGGCCGTCATCCTTTGCGGTCTGTTGTCACTACAGATCCAGTAATGCGGAAATGGAGTGTGCTGCTAGTAGCGGGGAAGAAAAAGAGCTGGAAATGATCGAACCTAAAGCGGGTTTTAAATCGGATGTGTGGAAGCATTTCGGTTTCTTTCTAAAAAGATACGAAAAAGGAGAAAAGGTGACAGACAAAGACAAAAACAGTTTGCAGGCACTGCCAGACTGTGGGGAAATATAAGTCGGGGAATACGACTAAAAACCGTCATGGGGACTGCAGAACACAGCACACTTGTTAGATTGATGCAGACATTGACTTGTACCGCAAAGAGACCTCTATCTCACGTTACGTTACCCACTGCTGTCAACCTTAGCTAAATCATGTCTCTCTGTCCCAGAAACCTCAGTCCCAAATGAGAGGGGTTTTTTCTGTTGCAGGGGACATTGTAAATACCCAGAGATCCCAGCTTTTACCAGATTATAGTTATATGATCATTTTCCTTAAAAAACCCATCTCTGAGTGAGTGAGTGATTAAATGTTGAATGTGATGAGTTTTCAACAATACTAAATTGAAACTATTTTTTATATGGTTTAATAGTTTTTTGTTATTAAAATTGAAAATTAAAGTTCCTGTTTGGAAACTTACAGATAGATGGCTGGTTTGTATGTCATTGATATGTTCAGTGCTAAGGTAAATAAACACTTTTGGCACTTTTTTTCGAGTCTTTTTATTAGTTTCGTTTTTCCTGTAAATTATTCAATAAATACTGTACCGTGCCATTCATACCGAGGTATTATCGTACCGTGAAATTCTGATACCGTTACATCCCTAATATATTGTAATAAGCATTATAGTGTTATATATACTAAAGTATTTTTATGTTTTGAGCACAGCATCAGAAATTAGGTTATTGCTTCTTAACATATACTCCTCAAGGTATGGTCACAAGGAATCCTGCTTCAGAAATAACTCCTCTCCCTCAGTCATCTTTCAATCAAGCAAGTTTCACCAGAGGTGGCAGTAACGCACCAAAAAGTTTGTTGTCGAACACCTTAAAACAGGAAGAAGAAATAATCCTTCTCCCTAGCATATGGATTTACTTCCATCGGCTAGACACCGGCCTCACAGCTCAGTGAATGTCGGTGCCGTCGCTTATTGATCCGCGATCGGTAAATCTAGCATGTGTGGACGCTACTGCGCTACTTGACCAATAAAATAGCCTCACTACTGAAAAGCTATTTGATTTAAAAAGTAAGGAGACTACTGCCACGCTACAGAGAAATGTATTTAAGCTAGTAGCGTCACTACTTGTAGCGACTCTACTGCCCAACACTGTGTATAGGCTAATGGATGTCTGTGCGTAGGCTCATCTCATTCTCACGCTGCAGATACTCTGTTTAACTGTTTTCTCTCTAGTGAAGCATTCAGTTTTTCCACTTACGAAGTCCGTCATGTAAATAGCAAATTCGCTACGGCGCGACGCAACTGACTCTTAAAGGGAATGAGACTCTGATTGTTTTATTCTCAAAACACACCTATAACTTATGAAGAAAATAAGCTCAACCCTGTTAGACCATGCGCCACGGCTATTTTTTCCGTCACTAAAATAGAATAAGTGGATTCCGACACGCCCTTAATGCTTTTGCGCTCTGCACTTTGCGCATGGATCATCAAAATAGTCTTTCCTTAATATGTTTTTAATCATGTTTGTTCTTTTTTTGTTTTTATTTTAAATACATGTTCGTGTAAAGCACTTCGAATCACCATTGCGTATGAAATGTGCTGTATAAATAAACTTGCCTTGGCTTGCCCAATTAAATTCATATTATTGCAATGCATATCGCAGCAAAACAAAGTATTGCAATGTCCGATTTTTCCAGTATCGTGCAGCCTTAATTTAAAATGTTGTACATTTTATAATGTTTGCCTGTTCTCTCGTTAAATAAATGCTGTGTGTTTCCTCCTCAGAGGTGGACATTAGTGACGTGACGGCTCAGGTCATCAGTCCGTCTGGAGCCACAGAAGAGGCTGATCTGGTGTCAGTGGGGAATCAGACATACTGTGTTCGCTTCGTGCCGCAGGAGACCGGTGTTCATTTGGTAAACGTGCGGTACCGTGGGCAGCACGTTCCCGGATCCCCCTTTCAGTTCACCGTGGGGCCGCTGGGGGAAGGAGGAGCGCAGAAGGTGAGAGCTGCGGGACCCGGACTGGAGAAAGCAGACGTCTGTGAGCCAGGTAGGCATGGGCTGAACCCTAGAGATGGTTGTGCTTATGATAACGTCGGATAAAAATATCATGGTTTTACAGTGATTAGTTCTCTAAAATATGTTCATTTTAAATGTCTGTTCTTGTGTTTGTCATCATGTGTAGCTGAGTTTACCGTGTGGACTCGTGAAGCAGGGGCTGGTGGTTTATCAATCGCTGTGGAAGGGCCGAGTCGAGCTGAAATCTCATTTGAGGAGAGGAAAGACGGATCATGTGGAGTCTCATATGTAGCTCAAGAGCCTGGTACACACAAACACACACACATGCTCTGTCTGTCAGGCTCTGTTTACACCTGCTGTTATGATGCATTTTGGTCAGTAGGATTAAAAGTACACATTAGAGACAGACTGGCATTTAAAAGCATCTATTTAGTAAACTTGTAACCACTTTTTCTGATGTGTGTATGTACTCTAACAGCTTTCTCTGATCCTTCAGTCTATTACTGAGGAATGGGTAAAAATTTATAAATAGACAAATACAAAAGTAAAATAAAAAAAATATACATAAGTAGATGCTTATAAATAAATATTAAATGAAATAAATAAATAGATAAAAAATAAGTGCATAGAAATAAATACGTATAATAAATAAATAGACAAATAAAGGGGTAAAGAAATATGTAAGTAAATACATAAAGAAAATAAATAATTAAATAAATAAAAATAAGTGTGTATAAATGCATATAATAAATAAACAAACAAAAATAGTGGTAAAAATAAATATAAGTAAATACATATAAATAAATATAAATAATAAAATAAATAAATAGACATAAATAATGCAATAAAAAATAAATATATATGTAAATAAATATAAATAAACATAAAAAATAAGTAAATAGATAAAAATAATCGCATATAAATAAATACATAAAATGAATAAAAAATGAATAAAAAAATACATATAAAAATGTATAGATTAAAAGAAATATATATATTCAACTGTGTATGTATGTGTATGTGTGTGTGTGTTTGTATATATATATATATATATATATATATATATATATATATATGTATGTATGTGTGTGTGTGTATAGTAAATAAATATAAATAATAAAAACATATAAATAAATATAAAAAATTAAATAAGTACATATAAATAAATGCATAAAATAAATAAAATTATAAAATGATAAAAATAAATACAAATAAAAAACTAAACAAATACATAATACATAAATCATAAAATGCATATAAATAAATGGAAAAATTACAAAAATAAAAATGAAAAAAATATATATAAATAAATACACAATATACATATAAATAATATTCTAAAAAGTAGCTTTTACATGGAGTTTTTTTGTGACATGCCTGTCATCCTGAACAGAACATGTTAAATGCATGTTTATGTCAGGTTCATAAACAGGTCCTCTGGAAATGCTGTGTAAATCTGACGCATTATATCTTCTTCGTGTGTTTGCAGGAGACTATGAAGTGTCTATAAAGTTCAATGATGAGCACATTCCTGAAAGCCCATTCCTGGTTCCAGTGTTTGCTCCTGTAGACGATGCCCGCCGCCTCACTGTTACCAGCCTTCAGGTGAGACATGAGAAAACACCTGCACACAGACACACATACGTCCACAGCGCTCCAAACTCACAGCAGAGGAAAACACAGCCCTTTTAAACCATTTGTGTGTTTTATTAATCATTTGCATGTTTAATTAATTAATTGACAATATTCAGATTTTTTTTTATTCTCAGCAAATAATATGAGCCTTATATCTCACCTGTATTTATTTAATGATAAATGCAGTAGAAGCACTAATACTTTGAAATAAGATTATTATTATTATTATTATTAAAAAAAAGTGTATTATTATTATTTTAATTAATAGTTTTTGAACTAACAATAGAAATTGTTGAATTTATATATATATATATATATATATATATATATATATATATATATATATATATATATATATATATATATATATTAAGTTAAATTATTTACTCATGGTTTAATTATTTATTCTAACAACTTTGTAATTTAATCATGTTAATTCAAGTTTTATTCTCACCATTTATTTTTATATTTAATTTAATATTTTTTTTTATTATTATTTGTTTTAAATTAAATTAACTATTTTTGTTTTGATTTTTGTTTTGTATTTATTATTTAATTAACATTTTAATGAGAATAATTTAATTGCTTTTGTTTTGTTTTTATTTTATTATTATAATTTTTTAAAAATTCATTTAAATATTTTTTGCATTGTATTAATTTTTAAAAAAAAATATTTGTTTTTAATTTAAATAAATTAATTGTTTTTGTTTTGTTTTTTGTATTTATTTAATTATTGTTTGTTTTGAATGTAATTGATTTAATTATTTTTTGGTTTTGTTTTCGATTTGTATTTATTATTTTATATTGTTATTTTTAGTTCAATTTCAATTAAAATAAATATATATATATTTTTGTTTATTTTATTTAATTATTAATTTTTATGTAATTAAATTTAAAAACAAATATTTCTTTGTTTTATGTATTTATTTAATTTAATTTGATTATTAATGTTATTTATTATTTTATTATTATAAGTTTCTTTTTCATTTTGTATTTATTTTATTATTAATTGTTTTAAATTTAGATACATTTATTTAAATATATTTTGTTTTGTATTTTTACATTTATTTTATAATTTTATAATTATTTTTTATTTTAAATAATGTTTACATAATTTTTTATATTTATTTTATTTTATACACATTTTGAATGAACATGCTATGCATTTATATAGACATGACAAAGACTGATGGAGCCGCTGTGGGTGTTCAGTTCTCTGTGTGTGTTTGCTCTGGTGTTTCTCTTGTGTTTCATTTAAAGGCTTTTAACAGAATCACAAACCATCAGTTAAAGCAGAGAGAGAAGCTCAGCCAACACTTCCCATCATCCTCTGTAGTTTATTCCCTATAGTTTATTCTCTGTAGTTTTATTCTCTGTAGTTTATTCCCTATAGCATTCTCTGTAGTTTATCTATTAGTTTATCAAACCCTCTAGTTCTCGTTCTCTCTCATCCAACATTTGTCAGATCTCTCTCTCTCAGCTTTAGCTGATCTTAGGTCAATTCAGGTGAGTTTATAAACATTTACTTTTTTTTGTTGCCATTTGTTGTGTGTATTAGGTAAATATAAATTGTAATATTTCCTAATTCAGATTTGGTGCATTCGTTCCTCATTTAAAGCAGTGGTCCCCAACCTTTGTATTACCGCGACCCCTCAACGCTGGGGTTGGGGGGGGTTTGGTTCGTATGTTGCTAGGTGACCATCAACCATTTTCTCAGATCATGACAAGCTGACAAAACTTTGCTGCAGCTCTGATACATGCTTTATTTATGGAGAAAATGATAAAGCACTGCAGTGTTTGGGTGTTTGTCTGAGATCATTATGGCCGGTTTCCATTGAGAGATACGGTACGGATAACCTTTATCAAGCTTGCGTTTCCACTGCCAAAAGGGTCTCCTTTTGGTGGGCGTGGTGTACAACAGAAAGTGCAGACGATGTCATTTTTACTCAAGGAAATGTCACAGTAAAGCCGTACAGGTCGTTCACATATCATATGAGAAGCACTTCTCACAAAACAGATGCTTTACACATAAATACTTGTGTATAAATGTTTATTACTAACCTTTCTATAAACATGATTTGATTATGACTTCAGATCAATGACAGCGCGAAATGGCCTACTGTAACGTCTGCAACTATAATAAATTAATAAATAAATGAACATATATGAAGACATACAGAGCCTTACAGTCTCCGATATGTTACCACTTACAGAAAAACTACACACAGCAGACATTTAGTTCTTATTTGGGTTCAAAAACAACACAAAATATAGCCCACAGTCAGAGCAAACCTCTCATATCTTTAATCTTCAGCAGTACATGTAACCTCTGTTAGAGTAATTCTGTCATTCCCAGTTCATAATAGTCCAAAAGGTGATGATGATTGTTAAACATGGCCGTTTGTTCATGTTTTAGGTTGCAGAAACATCATTTGCTATTTTTTTTTCCAGCTTCTCCTTTGTTTTTTTGCGCTTCACTCTCGTGTTTGTCTCGTTCTGACAGTATAGGATTTCATAATGCTTCAATGATCACGTGCACGTTATTAATATGAGCTCAAGAAGTTCATTATTTCAAATATAGATGCGCGATCGCAAGCTCTTTGGAGAAAGTGAAACCATTTGTGCTTTTAGACAGGCTCGGAAAACAACAACAGGATAATAGCTTTGTAAATAGCTTTGTGAGTGTTCATCAAGACAACGACAAGGTTTGTTTGAGCTCGTGTTGACCCTGGATCGTTGTTATATATATATATATATATATATATATATATTTTATTACGGTGTAATGTCTCGGCTGTGTTTTTAAATGCCGCTTCCTTTGTTTTCATTCTCCTGGCTTGTAGCACGAGCAAGTGATGTATCTCTGTAAACCAATATTGTTCAGCTATGTGTCTAGCTCTGCCTTTTGGTACACTTTTTTTGTGCTAGATATCCTTTGCAAAGGGTGACCAAAAAGTGGTATGGTACGTTTCGCTTTTTGGTACCTTTTGACAGTGGAAATGGCCATAAAAGCATACGGAACCGTATTACTCAGCGGAGACGGGCCATAAGTCTACTGAAATGTGTATATTCTATACAAATTAGGAAGCTGATCGGTCAGTTCTTGTCACGTAATTTGCAGTGCACTCACAGCATTCATTCAACTGGGGGCACCTGGAAGGTTCAAGTGCGTTACATCATTCATGCAAGCCGGGCACCTCCATCGGAAATAGCGAACTTGCGTGAACTCTAGAAAAGTGATATGCGAACGGCCCCTAAAAGGCCGCCGTCATTTGTGATGCAGTTAATCTTCTTGCAGGATTCACCTGATTTATTGACAAATAGGTTGCAGATCCATTCCTTGGCAGGTCGCGGGTCGTTCACTTTCCCCTTAGCAAAAAAACTTTCTTAAGACGTCTGTTTCTTACTCATTTTGCTGCTTGTGGGTTAAATTTGGATGCTCAAGTGACCGAGATGTAAAGCGAGAGAATTTTCAATAAAAGATTTTTCAAAATAAAAGCTTGTTCAGACTAGAGATCTGCGCGGGACTAAATTTTGAATCCCGCTCCTGCTAGGTTTTATCCTGAACCCGACTGCTCCAGCTTTTATTCAGCATTTGTTGTCCCGCTGCCTGCCCCGTTTTTTACCCACCGCGCCCGTTCCCCCTAACAAGCGGGGGGGGGTTGGGTTGGGGGGGGGACAAAACCAAAAACCACCCAGCTATACAGAGTCCAGACAGGCCTATAACAAGCTGTCTGTTGCACACATAAGCACCAAGCACACACACCTCTCATTCGTGCGCACACACACAGCAACAAACAAGCTAAATGCAGCATCACGCTGTCTCATTCACACACACACATAAGCGTGCTCGCTTGCTCGGGAGCGATATTGTTAAGACCGCCCGCTCCCGTCCAAAATAAACCAGTTACCAACCGCGCTTCATTCGGAAATTTATGCAGACCTCTAGATCAGGCTCAGATGATGAATAAAACAGAATTAATTCATGATTTCCTGTGCGGCCCGGTATAATTGATCCACAAACCGTATATGCACTGATTTAAAGAGTGTGTACATGCATGTGTGCGTTTGTTTCTGTGTGTGTGTGTGCTTTGTGTCTGTGTTTGCATGCTTGCCTGCATGTGTGTGTATGTGTTGTGTTTGTCTGTGTGTGTGTTGGGTCTGTGTGTATGTTTTTTTGTGTGTTGTGTTTGTCTGAGTGTCTACATGCATGTGTGTGTGTAAGTGATGTGTTTTTGTGTCTGTATATGTATGTGTGTGTGTTAGGTTTGTCACTTTGTGTGTTGAGTTTTTGTGTATGTGTGTTGGGTCTGTCTGCCTATGGTGATTGTGTTTGTGTGTCTGTTTATGTGTTGTGTTTTTGTGTGTTTCTCTGTGTGTGCGTGCGTATGTGTGTGCGTGCGTGTATGCGTGTGTGTTGTTCTGATGTGTCTGCTGGCTCCTGCAGGAGTCTGGCCTGAAAGTGAATCAGCCGTCCTCGTTTGCGGTGCGACTGAACGGGGCGAAGGGATCCATCAGCGCTAAAGTGCACAGTCCATCCGGAGCGCTGGAGGAGTGTGCGGTGTCTGAGCTAGAACAAGGTCAGGGAACACACACACATACATAAACTTACTCACACACACACTCCACAACACACTCTAGAAACCTGTAATCTGACCTTCATGTTTGATCATCAGTTCTGCTCTTCCTCTGCTTCATTCACAGATAAGTACGCCATTCGTTTTATCCCGCGAGAGAACGGCATCCACGTCATCGACGTGAAGTTCAACGACACACACATCCCCGGCAGCCCCTTCCAGATCCGTGTGGGAGAGCCAGGACAGGGCGGAGATGCGGGACTCGTCACGGCTTATGGACCCGGATTGGAGAGAGGAACCACAGGTGAATAAAACACACTTCACACACCCGAGCTCAAAACTCCCAACACAAATAAAAGCCAGAGTTGTTGAACTGAAGAGGCTAAGGAGATCGCTTTGACAATGGCCACTGTTTAAAACACGCTCAGCAGTGCTCAAATGTTAGCGGAAAATGAACACTTTTAAAATTTCAGCACCGATTGCTACTCATTCTTTTTTTTTGACAACCCTACTTTGTTTACGTTTGCATGTGCACGTCAGAAATTCTGGAATGAGTTGCAATGTATTTTTCCTAAAAAGATGCCCCCCTTCTGATGCAAACTCTTCTCTGTCAGGAAATCAGGCCGAGTTCATAATCAACAACACTAAAGCGGGGCCGGGGTCCCTGTCGCTCACTATCGAGGGCCCTTCTAAGGTGAAGATGGAGTGTCAGGAGTGTCCCGAAGGCTTCAAAGTGCACTACACACCGATGGCCCCTGGAAACTACATCATCACTGCCAAATACGGAGGTCCCAACCACATCACCGGCAGCCCGTTCAAAGCCAAAGTGACCGGTGTGTAGAAATAATGCCTATTTCAGATGAAGAATGATGGTGATGATCTGTTTGTTTTTTGTGGTTGATTTTCTTATTGAGGATTTTTACTAGCTAATTGGCAAATATTATTGATTTCTGGCGGTTTTTAAACTCTTTATCGGGTGAGGAACATTGTTGGGTATGTTACTTTAAAAAAGTAATAATTACAAATGACTGACTACCACTGGAAAATTGTGATCTGATTACATTACTAATTACTACATGTAAAAAGTAATCAGATTACTACTTCGAAGTTAATTTTAAAACGTATAAAATATAGCTATAAGCAATACAAAATAAAATACAGCTCTTTAAGTACTTTGAAAAACATCACAATAGGTTGATCACAGCAGCTTGACATATTCTAAAGACCTGAAAACTTAAAATTCTGTCATCGTTCACTTGTTCCGAATCCATTTGTCTTTTTTTTTTAGCACAAAAGGAGACATGAAGAAAACTAGATACCTGTAACCATTGACATCCATAGCACTGCAGTGTTTGGATGTTTTGTGATTGTCTGAGGTAATTAGTCTACCAAATTATGGCTGTTTCTCAATATGCGTTCTTCAGCGGTCTTGCGTCCTTGTGTTCTCGGGAATCGTCATTATCAGCTGCCTAAGTTCAGTTCCAATACTCAAGACCGCAAATACGGAGGACGCGTGAAACTTCCCGGATGTGTTCTTGATATCGAGGACGCACTGATGCAGACTTGAGCACCGAACTCCCTTGGGAAGTCCCAGAAGTCATTGCGACTGGAGGTGGGAAGCGCTGCATTTTATTTCGATTTATTATTAAAGTTCAGAGATATAACTTATTTACCTCAGGAGTTTCCCTGAATGAAACGGTGAAAGTAAACATTACCATGGACATTTTAATAAAGGAATAAACACATTAAGGGTGTTTGTTTGCTGAAATTCCTTTTAAAATCTGTTTTATTTGTATTGTGCAGTGTATATTTATAATGTTTTTATGCAAAGTATATATTTTGAAAAGGGGGAAAACAATAAATCGTTTTATGAATGTTGTAATGTTTAAATAATTTACCATTTAAACACGTGAAGGTCATGTGACCATCAGGAAGATAGTAGCATCTCAATTCTCAAAGGACGCGTTCTCTGCCCTCATGGTCTCCTGAGTTCGTTCTTCCGAGGACACCTGGCAAGACCGCTCTCCACAAGAACACAACTCCGTTCTCTGCGATCTTGGAATTGAGAAACAGCCTGTGTATATACAAAGAAAGCATGAAGCAGATTGGTCAGTTCTTGTCACGTGACTTGCGGTTTTCGACTGGTGCGCCTTTTCAAAAGATACTATATTTAAACAGTACCATAAGCAGCTACGCTACTCTTCACATTCAGAAGAGACCTTCACTCCATATCCTTCACAAAAATTGGTTTTAGCATGTTACAGCTGAGTTGGAGCACCATGTTTTTGGGCGCCGGTGTTCTCCTTGGTGGCGAGTATTGTCCTATAATGCTTTCTGTTCAAGTGTTGAACAAGTTGCTGGTTGAGGTAAAAGCAGTCGAAAGTTCTTAAGAGACTGGACATAGACTGCATTTCACAGCAATATTTTAGTTTTTACGCTGAATGAAATCAAAATAATGTCTGTGGTTCCACTCTTGTCTTGTCGAAGCAAGCACACATCGGCAACCATTTCAGCTTTCAGATTTAAAAGCAGCATTTTTTTTCTTTTTCTTTTAAAAACTATACTTGTCACGCAAGTAACGTAATTACATTGGCTTTAGTAACTGTCATCAAATGACATAAATGTAAAATGTAATTGGTTACAGTACTGCGTTCCCCAAAAATGTAATAAGAACAGTAACACGTTACTTTGAAACTCTGGCTGTCCAACTCTGGTGAGGAATCATATATGGCAGTGGTTCTGAAACTGTTCTACGTGGGTAGGCCCACCTGGAATCTGCGCACGCAGAATTCCACAGGTTTTGCGCAGATCTTTAGCCCATCATTAATTCTGTTTATTTACTTGAGTAAATGTGTGTAAATCTATATTTATTCAGTTTTTTAATTAATTTCAGTAATATTATTGACTGATGTAAAAATGTTCATCTGATTTATGTACAATGCCGTTTATACAGTAATTTTTCTCTCTTTTGCTAAATATATGACAAACTAGCTTTATTTGCCAAATAAAGTGGATCTAAATGGATTTGCATTTTAAGCATTAAATAAAAGTTAAAAAGGTATTATTTTTTATTTCATATATTAAGGTTTTAGGTACGATTCTCCCAAAATAATTCCGCAGAAATCCACAGACTTTAACCAAAATAGCAAAAAACGTCCGCAGATTCCGTCTGGCCCTATACATGGGCTTCCTTCTAGTGTTACGCAGAGGAATCACTAAATAATAAAAGAAACAAAAAAAAAACACTTTAACCATTTGACACATATGATAACACTGATGTGATCAGCATTAACTGTTCCCTGGAACCTACGATCCCACTGGTGTCATTAGAATGTTTAGTGCATCGCGTCATCAGCTGCTAAAAATCAACCCACTTGAGGCAGAGCCTGAGGCCAGGGCGGATTTAGTGATTTGTACTTTCAGCTATTTTTATTGGTTTATTTTGCAAATTTTTTTTTCTTAAATCACTCAATATCCTTTTATACCCTTTATCTTAATGAAAAAAACCTGTAAAGAATCTTGTACAACTTTTTAAATGATTTGCTTGCTTAAAATAAATTCAGAACTAAAAATGATATTTCATTTTTAAAACTAAATCTTTACCTGATTTGACTGCTGGACTGCTCCATAATTGAGAATGGGGGACATGTTTGCGCAGATGTAATAATTTTGAATTTATTAAATATAAATTAAGTCTCACTGTGCACAGAGAAGAGAACAAGGTCAAATTTACTGTCTTGCACCAATACATTCTGTACGCCTTCAAACGCCTCGCACAAACGGTAACTATTTTTTTGTCATTTGATGCAAAGATGATATAATACATATGTAAATGCATATAAATGCTCATACATTTTTTTCAATCAAATTTAAATATTAAAAACTTCTAGGGATTTAAGATACTGATGAGAGCTAAACACGTAAAAAGGGTCCATTATTTCAAAAGTAACTTCCCCCAACACTGTGTGTGATCAGGGTGTTAGTGACTTTTGTAATGATGAGTGTTTTTCTCCTCAGGTCCGCGTCTGGTGAACGTGAGCAGCGTGAGTGAAATGTCATGTCTGATGGTGGATTCCGTGACTCGCTCCACCAGCTCGTCTGCCAGCAGGGTCAGCAGTCGAGGCCCTGGACTCAGCAAGGCCTTCATCAGCCAGAAAGCCTCTTTCACTGTTGACTGCAGTAAAGCTGGTGAGACCTCAGAGCAGGACGAGAAAAAACACACACATTCAACAAAATATTTTTACACTTTATAAAAGAATGTCTTCATGATGCAAAATAATGCATGATTTAATGCTTAAAAAAACATGTATTATAATATTTATTATTATTATTATCAGCAGCTGTAGTAGTAGTCACCGCTGTAGTAGTAGTCGTTGTCGTCCTAGTAGTAGTAGTAGTCGTCGTTGTCGCCCTAGTAGTAGTTGTTGTTGTCGTCCTAGTAGTAGTAGTCGTTGACGTCCTAGTAGTAATAGTAGTAGTAGTCCTTGTCGTCCTAGTAGTAATAGTAGTAGTCGTTGTCGTCCTAGTAGTAGTTGTTGTTGTCGTCCTAGTAGTAGTAGTCGTTGACGTCCTAGAAGTAATAGTAGTAGTCGTTGTCATCCTAATAGTAGTAGTCATTGTCATCCTAGTAGTAGTAGTTGTTGTCATCCTAGTAGTAGTAGTTGTTGTCAACCTTGTAGTAGTAGTCGTTGTCGTCCTAGTAGTAGTAGTCGTTGTCGTCCTAGTAGTAGTAGTCGTCCAAGTAGTAGTAGTCGTTGTCGTCCTAGTAGTAGTAGTTGTTGTCGTCCTAGTAGTAGTAGTCGTTGTCGTCCTAGTAGTAGTAGTCGTTGTCGTCCTAGTAGTAATAGTAGTAGTAGTCCTTGTCGTCCTAGTAGTAATAGTAGTAGTCGTTGTCGCCCTAGTAGTAGTAGTTGTTGTTGTCGTCCTAGTAGTAGTAGTCGTTGACGTCCTAGAAGTAATAGTAGTAGTCGTTGTCATCCTAATAGTAGTAGTCGTTGTCATCCTAGTAGTAAAAGTCGTTGTCATCCTAGTAGAAGTAGTCGTTGTTGTCCTTGTAGAAGTAGTAGTAGTCCTTGTCGTCCTAGTAGTAATAGTAGTAGTGGTAGTAGTCGTTGTCATCCTAGTAGTAGTAGTCCTTGTAGTAGTTGTCGTTGTCCTAGTAGTAGTATTAATAGTCATCGTCCTAGTAGTAGTCGTCATCCTAGTAGTATTAGTAGTAGTCGTCATCCTAGTAGTAGTAGTTGTCGTCCTAGTTATAATAGTACTAGTCGTAGTAGTAGTAATCATCGTCATCTACTTACTTAAATCAGTAATTAAGATTAATATCTTATGGTTTTTCAAGTATTTTATTTTTTTAACTGCATCATAATTATGATTATGATGACAATTTTTAATCATAAATCTAAATATAATGATTTTAATTGGCATAAAATGGTTTGGAGAATGGGTGGAACTTTTTTTTTATTTAACAATAGTACAAGCAAACAAACAAATACAAAGTAGACTTTAAATATTAATAACTATTTATAATTCCATCTGTAAACAATTTAAATTTTATACTATATGGTAACGAGAAAAACGACCACAGAAAAGTTTTCAGACATGCTTACAATCATTTTTAGATGACACAATTCCATTGTTTCAAGAAAGCAATATTAAATGATTAATAATTTTGAACCACAACCAATAACATATTTTTCTGGCCAGTTTTTTTTGACCCTCTGTCATGGCAGTATTGGGTCGGTAAATACTTTTGGTAAGGATATTAACCGTATTTTTCAATGCGGAAGTGCGCTTGTTTTTGCGATTGTTTTAGAACCCGCTTGTACGCAAAGAATAAGGTGAATACACTACCTGACAAAAATCTGGTCGGCTATCCAAGTTTTAGAAACAACAAATTATAACTTGACTTCTAGTTGATCATTTGGGATCAGAAGTGTCTTATATGAAAGGCAAAGGCCTCTAGATTATGCTTATTTGACCAAAATAAAATATGATCATGTCTTGATTTTTAATGATTTCATTAGGACAGTAAGGTCTGACTTTACTCAGACTAAAGTCTCATTACTGAACAGAAATAATGTCCAGTATAGAATATAAAGTCCTGCTGCAGTGGAGACAGAATGAATATTGTGTCTGACTCCATCATGAGCTTGGAGGACTGCATCCATACATCTCTGACATGACTCAAATCACTGATTAATAAAGTCATCTGGAATGGCAAAGAAAGTGTTCCTGCAGGACTCCCAGAGCTCATCAAGAGTCTTTAGATTCATCTTCAATGCCTCCTCCTTCACATTTCCCTAGAGATGCTCAATAATGTTCATCTCTGGTGACTGGGCTGGCCAATCCTGGAGCACCTTAACCTTCTTTGCTTTCAGGAACTGTGATGTGGAGGCTAAAGTATGAGGAGCGCTCTCCTGCTGGAGATGTGTCCCTCTCTTGTGGTTTGTAATGTAATGGGCAGCACAGATACCTCAGGCTGTTGATGTTGCAGATCTCTTGCACTCCTCCATACTGAATGTAACCCCAAACCATGATTTTTCATTCACCAAACTTGACTGGTTTCTGTGTCAATCTTGGGTCCATGTGGGTTCCAGGAGGTCATCTGCAGTATTTGTGATGATTGGGATGCAGCTCAACAGATGATTCATCTGAGTAATCCACCCTCTGACACTTTTACCAATGATCAACTAGAAGTCAAGTTATTATTTGTTGCTCTTACAACTGGGATCCACAACAAGACTTTTTGTCAGGTGGTGTAATTGTATTTTAGTATTTTTGTCTGCCATCTAACCTTGTGTTTGTGCTTTTATTCATCAGGGAAGAACATGCTCCTGGTGGGTGTTCACGGTCCTCAAACCCCCTGCGAGGAAATCCTGGTCAAACACATGGGAAACATGCAATACAACGTCAGCTATGTCCTGAAGGAGCGAGGAAACTACATTCTGGCTGTCAAATGGGGAGATGAACACATCCCAGGCTCTCCATTCACTGTCACCGTCCCATAATGCCCTGTACTTCGTCCTTCTAAAAACACTCCAGAGACACTGTAAAAACACACATCCAGACCCTCTTCATTCTGATGAACTTTGCACTTGATCAGGTTTTCGACTGGAATGTGATGCATTATGACTGTAACGGCATGTTATGATGCATGAATTGTGCATTTCTGTTTGTCGATTTGGTTTTTAGAGAGTTCAGATGATCTTGTATGAACAAACTGATTAGGGTTCAACACCCAAAAACGTCTCTTAACTACTGATACTGACTTTAATTGTTCGTCTAGTTCATTTTAATGCACATATTATAACATTGTCTGTATTTGATTCTTGCTGTTTAATCTGAGCTGTGACATTAATCGAAGCATCGTCCATAAAAACACTTCAAATCAAGCACTGCTTTTGTCATCTCAGTAGGTTTCACTACTAAATATTGAACATTTATATAGAAAAAGGTTAAATTTATTAGACTTTCAGAGCCCTCAAGACCAAAAACATCCAGTATTCTTGAATTAATTTGGCTTTTTTTTTTGTTTGAAGACACTAATATTCAGTCACAGTAATGGATTGATGCAGATTTAATATGATTATTTTCATCATTTGTGTTTGTCTTAAATCATCTACTAGTTTTGATACTCCAGTGGTTAAGTATTTTGTAAGTCTTTTAAGGGCAAGAGGGGACATATAATTGTATTATCTATTAGCCATTGGTGCCTTATTGTGTAACACGTGAATAGATCTGATGTACATTTGCTTATTAAAATTGAATGGAATAAATAATTTAGAAGCTACTGTGTGTTGTTAATTATAGAGACTGAAACCTTCAGATTTCTTCTTGATGGTTTATTTTATATAGTCTCATTAATATGACACTTAGGCCTTCCTTTAAAACCGTATAACATTACAGAAAGTAGCTCTTATGAAACTCTTATCCATAACCGGCGGTCGATTTAAATACATTCACAGGTAAGAGTATCTGCATTTTGCACTTCAAATGTCAGTTAATGGCGATAAACGCTAATAAAACTAAAGAACCAGCTAACTTAACTTAGCTAACAGTATTAAACCGAAATCAATCATTAAAAATAATAAATTGCCTCTATTTGCGCGATGCCTCCAACAACGTGTGCAGATAGTGGTCCCGTCTCAACGTTCTCCAGTCAGCTGATACGTGATTGGTCAGATTTGTGCTGTGGGCGGAACTTCACTGATTTGAAAAATACACTAGTTAGCGGTTGTGTATTTCCTTCACGCTTGTTTTCAGAGGCAAACAAAATAGCTGCGTCCCAAATCGCATACTTATGCACTATTTTACGCCATTTTGTAGTATAAATAGTGTAAGTAGTGTGTTCACATTGAAAACTCTCAAAATAATGAGTGCACTTTAATTACCCGGATGATGCACTCATTCAGCCGCTAAAATGAAGTGTGTAATGATGGACACTTCACGCACTCAACGACCGCAGGTTTGCTTACGTAGCGGAAGGGGCGGAGCGATCGGACGCACATGTTGAATAACTTTATTTATTTTGAATTGTGAAAGCAAAATTCTCCTACGAGAGTGATTATAGTGCCTCCGGATGGTAAATGCGGCAACACTCACGGCAGGTGTTACTTGATAATTCAGTCGTTTATTTCACTGATTTGGCAACAGTCAAACGTCATCAGGGAAACGGTTTGAATTTCCGCTTAGTAAAAAAACATTAGTGTGCCATTTGGGACAACACTACATACATATACTATCCTGTTGAGTGTGTAAGTGCATAAGTACATAGTGCATGAGTGCATAGTGTATAGTGTGCCATTTGGGACGCAGCTCCTGTTTTTTTTTTCAGGAAATCTTTGTTTGACTCTTAAATGTTTCCTGTTTGATCAGTCATTACTGTTCGTTTGGTTCGTTTTTTTTAAATCAGGGTCGATTTAAATGCATTCACAGGTAAGAGTTGAATCGGCATTTATTTTGCTCCTCAAATGTCAGTTATTGGCGATAAGCGCTTGTATACACGTGAAACACGAGATATTATAGTGTATATCCATTAAAATCAGCAGATCTACCTTATCAAACTCCATTTACACTTCAAATAATTTACCGAAGTAATGTGATGCTGAGATTATAAAAATGGCGGCATGTCGTACTGATTCCTGTTTGGCTTAATAAATTACTTTTTCACTACAATTTGTTCTGTTATTTGACAACAAAGATAAGAAATTTATATGTTTAATGTCAATCAGTGTTCAAAATTGAATAAAGACACTTATTTTTCACATATATTTGTAAAAGAATGACTAAAATTGTATATAACAGTATTATAAACATAACCATTAATGAAGTGTTTGACATATAACATTATACCTGTGTGGTTTCGGTCAGTTACCATCACTTTCTCGTGTTGGATTTTGAGGAATGACACTTAAAATGCTCTCAAATAAAGTACTGAAAAAAATGTGTGGAATGAGAATTCGAACTGGTTGTAAAAGGAACTTAACTAGTAAGAGTAGGACCCCTAGTGTCTATCTCTGCACATGTCTGAGTGTGTAAATCATATCAAGCATAAAAAATGTAATAATTATATCAGGAATATCCTAACTGCAGATAAAAGTGTTCCTCCAATTGCAATGGTTAAATGCAAACAAGCATTCCCTTCATTCTTTTTTCCCCCAAAAATCTGGTCAGATATTACAAAATACATAATTCCTAACAAAGTAAAATAAACTAATTTTAAAATATTACATATATATCATCCATGCTATGATTTTATAAGTAAGGTTTTTCACCCTTGTGTTGTTTTTGTAAAATGGAACCGGAAACCATTCTTCATTTATTTTTCAGTTGCAGTTACACAAAACGGTTTTGGTCCCAAGTTTCTTTACTACTTTTTGAAGTGTTTTATAAATTTATCAGTATAACTGAGCAAATGGTTTTATTTACGGATCGCAACTCTGGATTACAGGAAATGGACAAAATAACTAAAATTCTTATTTTATTTGGAAAGTATCACATCCACAAAACAAAATGTATGCTGACTGTACCAAATTGTAAACTATTTCTCATTGATTTAAAGCTTTTTTATGATTCCCTCACTGCTATACAAAGTAATACCAAAGCTATTAAGACATCTCAACTACTGGAAAAAATACTTAATGTGCACGATTAATTTTTGTAATTAATTACATTGTATACTGTTTTATGTATAACTCTGTACACCCCTGTTTAAACAATAAAAAAAAAGAGAGTGTAAATCATAATAATATTAAACATTGCTGTTCTTAGTTTAATAGGATGCAGAGGAAATATACATGGAGAATGTGATGCGACTGAGAGAAGAACAAACCACCCAAGTACTACAAGTATGTAGAGATCAGATTATTGCATGCTTGTTGAGAATTGTTTCTGAATATTCATTACAGGGATCATGATCTTCTTCTTCTTTGGCCTTAGTTCCGTATGGTTGCGGGGTCGGCTCTTTGGAACAAGTCCTCCATTTAGACTTGTCCATATGATAACCTTTTTTTTTTTTTTTACACCTTCTGGCCGGCCTGTCACACTCATACACTACGCCTACCCAATTCACCTGTAGCATGTTTTTGGACTGTGGGGGAAACCAGAGCACCCGGAGGAAACACACGCGAACGCAGGGAGAACATGCAAACTCCTCACAGAAACGCCAGCTGAGCTGAGGTTCGAACCAGCGACCTTCTTGCTGTGAGGCGACAGCACTATCTACTGCGCCACTATATCGCCCATTATAGGGATCATAATGTGGATTAAAAACATATATTTTAATGTTCTTTGATGTTTACATAAAAATTAATAATAATTAATGGTTTAATCTCTGACTTCTGGAATTTTTAATGCAGACCAAGAGTATACACTCACCGGCCACTTTATTAGGTACACCTTACCAGTAGGGTTGCACGGTTTACTGGTACTATGGTAGTATTGCTCCTCACCGCGACACATCGCACATAACAGTTGAAAGTATCGCACACCAGACGGACACATTCGATTGCTATTTAAAATGAAACTAATCTGATGGCGCTCTGTGGCGCAGAAGAAGTATGGACAGTGTCCTGAGTAGTGGCTGGGCGGTGCGGACAGTCACCGACATGCGGCGCCGGTGTGTGTACCCTGATAGAAACCTATGTTTAGAATTCTAAGATGCGTGGCACTACACTGCTAGTCACCAAGCGGCGCTTCTGGTGTGTGACCCTCTTATGGCTGCAAAATACCGGTGGTGCCACTGTAGTTTGTACACTCAAATTCAGCAAGGTATTGCAAACACAATGGGCTATATGCACGCATTACTTCCGCGTTTTGTCTAAGGCCGCGGTCCAGCTTCCGGTCTGGGTGATTTAAGCGGAGGTAAACAGTATTATGGCAGAGTCGTCAATATTTACTCGCTGTTTGCGAGTAAATTATGGGCAACGATGTGCAAATGATTGTCCGGATGTGCTCTACAACACCGCAGAGCAAAGCTTGAGAAGGTTTTCAAGTTTTATGCATCTTCCTACCTGTGCAATTATGAAGGTAAGTTCAGCTAGCCTGAAGGCTAACTTCAGCGTTAATACTCTTACGATCCGTCCATCTGCAGCTTTATCACGTAAGTAAAAATAATCATATGTGTACGTAATTCTGTCTCAAAGTGTCAGGTAAAAACCGGGCAGGAATAAGATCTCAGTGAGAGCTTATTACTACCGATAGATCTATGAAGAAATCGGAGTCTCCTCACCAGCTGAGAGTAGGACAGCATACATGTGAAATTCTGTCCCATTCATACTTTTACTGTTCTAAAGTGACCACCACTGTTCAGTTCGGATAATTACAGTAACACAGATGCTGTCTTAGCTTGTAAGCATGATTATTGAGCAAGATATATTAGGAATAAAATAATACAATGCCGTTCCATCCACAACAGACAAATAGCACTGTCACTGCTGAGATTTATTGCTGAAACCGTGGAGATGACAGATGCAGTGTAACAGTGTAGATAGCATGCTTTCTATTTAGTCGGTAACATTGTAATTAAATGGGAGGGTGACCCAAAACAATAAGGTGTCATTAGTTAATTTCACATCAACAATTTGTCTATTGCAATATTTATTAGTTTTTTACATTAATGAACAAATGCTTGTTCATTGTGCTTGTTAACTCGCAATGTAATAGCTAATGTTAACAAGCATGACTTTGGATTTTTATTCATTAGTAAATTAGTTTAACAATGCTAACTATTAAATATTAAATAGTTATTTTAATAGTGAGCAAATACATAAACTAATGAAACCTTATTTTAAAGTGTGACTAAAGGGAGCTACTTTTAACTAATTTAAATTAATGATTTACTGTGTAGTTAAATCTGATGATATTGCTGCAGATGCCTTTCAAAAGAAGATATTTTGAAGAAAGCTGAAAACCTGTAACCATTGACTTCCATAGTAGGAAAAAGAACTACTATGAATATCAGTGGTTGCAAGTTTCCAGCTTTCTTCAAAGTATTTTTGTTTGTGTTAAACATCAGAAAGAAACTCAAACAGGTTTGGAACAAGTGAAGGATGAGGAAATAGAATTTTCAGTTTTGAGTGAACTGCCTTTAATGACTCTCTTTAAAAACCTATTAATATTCTTGTTTCTGTTTTCTAGATAACATTATGAGATTCAGAGCTAGAAAATTTTATGTGTTACTTCATCCTGGAGCGGACATTCGTCAGAAGATCCATGCCATCGTCTGCTAGTTAATAGCTCCTGCTCTTGTGTGGCTGAGAGTGGGATATGCAAACATTTGGTTGCTTTGCT